AAAAAAAAATGATATTAAATAAAAAAAAATTTTTTTTTTTTTAGTTAATTAAAAGAAAAAAAAAAAAAAACTATATATATATATATATATATATATATATATATATATATATATCACACACGATGTCATTTTTTAAATAAAACACATTTAAAAACTTTTTTTTCTTTTTCCAAAAATAGTTTTAGAGACATTTTTATAAAGCATTGCATCACACAATTTTAGGTAGTTTTCTAGTTTCCCATTCACACCCCACAAGCTCTTACCCAAAGGAAAACTGCTTACTTTTAGGCGAGGCACTGGGACTGTTGGAGGCAATCTGGCGCATGCGCCCTCCGTGACAGCTCAGCGCCACCAGCCGGGAGATAATGGCCGTCTTCCCATACCCAACGCTGCCCACCACCACCACTCCGTGGTTTTCACTGGACTCGCTGGCCTTCAGCATGTCCTCAAGCTGCTGAAACAGCCAGTCTCGGCCGACAAACACAGAGTCTGTAGTGATGCTGGGAACCTCAAACAGCAGGGGCTTGAGCATGATGTCTGAAGGTTTGTAGGGAGCAAAGCGTCCTAAAGTAAATGTGGGGGGGGCGGGGGGGGGGACACATCATAATTAGTCATGGTGTCAATAATAAAACCTTGCAGTATTAGTGTGGAATGATTAACTAGTTACATACAAAATGAGTCCCAATATATTTATTTTTTTCCTTTGGGTGTTCAAATGTTTGGCCAGTACAAAAAATAAATGGCCCAAGAATTTTGGACTTGTAATATCAGAATTGGCTGATATACTTTATACTGGCCCTGATCTGTGAATTTACTGAAATCCTATTTAACTGCTGTGTAACACCAACTGCTCAGTTTCTTGGTTGTAATATAAAATTATTTATCTTTCACATAAATGCTCTTTAAGGCTAAAGCTTCAAAAAGTCAACAGTCAGAGTTCCTTCTAAAATATCATTTTTGGAAACATTGTTCATTTATTTAAAAAACATATGGTTGAAGAAAATATATATATGTGGTAATACAGCACATGTAGACATTTTGAGATGTACAAAAAAAAGGAAAAGAAAGAAGTTAGTGACCTATATTCTGTTTTGTAAAGTGGGGGGCACCGTAATTCTTTTGAGCTGGCATCATGATTTTTGGCTGTTTGTGAGAATTAGTTTTACAAGACAATAAAACAAATGTGTTTTTGCTTTTTATAGTTCTTAATTAGAAACGGGGACTGGTAGGTCAGAGCTTTGCAAAACTGGTGTTTGAAAATCAGCCACAAAGTCCCTGATGGGTGCATGTTTGGTTTGAATACATTTTCTAGAGCAAAAAAAAAAGCTACAATTTAAAAGAGATATAAAAATAAAGTAAAACATTTTGGAGCAATTCTCATTATTTGTGCCAAATGGAGATTCTGCATTTTTGACAGGACATATTCTCCTCCTACTACTTTTAACTGGATTTCTACAAAACTCAAAGTAATAACTTAGAATCTGTTCTGTTAAATCAGCTTCCAGTTTGGGTTCAAAAAGCAGAAACCCTCTTAACCTTCCCTGAATAACCATGAAAAGTTGCTTTTAACAGAATCCTGTAGTTATAATTGCTTGGGTGACCCTGAAATATTCATTAGTTGTGCTGGTATTAGCCTAAGGTCCTGCAGGGCCTCAGTTGATACACACCAAGTACCTCTCCTCCACTCCTTGTGCTCTTCTTTTTTTAATTATTACACAAGACATACAGGCTTATCTCTAAGATTGAGCATTTTAAGTTCATCTTCAACTTCTTTTTGAGGATATTTCTGAATCTTATTTAGTATTAACGTGTCTATCTCTCTATATTAGACTAAGGTCCTCAAATGCAATTGAATTTTGTCCATTTATTGTGAATCAGAAGTGGATCAAAAAATGGGTGAAGCTGAATTGACTTGAATCACTGCTTCTGTCCTGTTTTCATTGTCACTCAGAGGTGAAAATCTAAATGCCCAAAACTTTGAGTTACTCTAGTTTTCATTAAATATTCCTGTTGAAGTTTGTCTAGGGTGCTCTGCAGAGCTGTGTAACACCAACTGCTCTCTTCCTCTTTCACACACAACAAACAAGATAAAGATAGCCGAACAAATAAAAACACGACACACTATTCTTAATGCCAAACATAAACTAAAAACCTACCAATGTGCATTTCACAAGTCCTGGATGCACACAGAATTATTTCGTTTCTGCGGTTAGACTCTTTCTAAACGTTGGTCTTAGGTTTAAAAGTGCTGTTTATATGCAGCTTAAAACAAGGCGGCATTCAATTGTGGATTTTTGCTGATGTACAGGAAAATATTCAAATGTACTACTGCCTTCTAAAGTGCGCTTCAGTACAAAGTATCTAACGAGACCTTTGGAAAAATTAAGGTTTAATGTGATAGACCAAGTGAACTAGGAAGAAAAAGATCCATAAAAATCTGTTTAGATAGGAAAAAGCTGATCACTGCAGTCAACAGTGGACAGATGTGGATGATTTTCTTCAGCAGTCACGGAGAAACTAGTTAAGACACATGGAGCTAAATACAGAGAAATTGTGGAGAAAAAGCTGCAAAAGACTTTAGGCTGAAGCAGAGGTTTAACTTCCAGGGAAAACATTATGTAAAGCTACATCTAATTGCAACCAAAAAGTTACATTTCAGAGTCAAATTCAATACAGGACATATGAATAGATTTGAAAATGTATCTTTGAGGATACTCTTGATTCAATCTGTCTAAGTTTGAGCTAATGGGCAAAAAATGTTGGCATGTGTACATCCAAAGCCAATTGAGACAGATGTCATCTGTAATCAAAGAGAATCGTGATCCTACAAATATTGATTCAAGTGGGCTGAATAGAATGAATGACACCATTTTCATATTTGAAATATTGTTAACGTACACTTTCCCTTCCATTTTGAAAATATTCACTACTTTGTGTTCGTCTATCTCAGATGATTCTAATGCAGTACATTAAAATGTGTGGTTGTGACATGACAAAATGTAAAAAAAAGTCAGGTAAATACGTCTGTATGGTCTTAAACTCTACCTAAGAAATTTGGTGTTTTCAAGAACTGGTCGTGATAATGGCAGGAAAAACTTAACTATCCCAAACCTGGATATCAAGTAAGCGCAACAATGTTCAACATGCAGCTTATTTGCAGTATTAACTGTCATTCACCTTTAGGGTCATGCGGTGGCCTCCCTCCTGTGTTGTGCCACGGCAGGCGAATGGACGTCCTCAGGGGCGTGTTACGCTGCTCATCAAGATAGCTCAGGTCCTCCAGCTTGGTGGAGCTGGTTGCTGCGAAGAGACACACGGGTCAAAAAAAAAAACAGCCGGTGAACAACACTAAATCAGGAGGACTGCTTTTATTTCAAAAACTGCAAAAATGTGAGATGGGAAGAATCAGTAGTTGAAGATTTTGTTGCACACAGGCTCCATCTCCCAGAAGATGAGTGATGGTGATGCAAGCCAGTGCGCTTTGACATTTGACGATTCCTAGAGGCAGTACTAGTAAACTGCAGCTGAAAGGATAGCAGTATCTTATAGTTAAGACAGATGTGCTCTGGTTGTCTGATTTCCTCTGACAGCTATAGCAGTAAGATGTCCGTCCCCTCAAACAGCACTTTTGTGCTGTAGGGAGAGGATGGACTACCTTTGTTTCTCCTCAGACAGAAAGAATAAATCAATCCTATGCCAGTTGCAAAGGCTTAAAGAAGCTTTTTATACTGCAAGTTTATTCAGACGTTCAAAAATGACTCATTAGAAACAATCTGCTGATTCGTTATCCACATGCAAATATTAGTAAGCCAATAAATATTAGATTTTTATTATTTTATTTTTTACCGTCTTAAAAACATGCACTTTGTAACTTGGATGTTAAACTCGCTCCAGATTTTATTTAATTTCAATCTGACTTTGTGCAGGGAGGAGTTGAGGTCTCCCAGCAGGAGACAATTTTGATCCCAAAAAGTCTCCAGATTAACTTCTGGAAATGAGTCGGTGTGATTGCACAGCAATTTAGCAGAAGGTTGAAAGCATGAGCTATGCCCTGTTAATATAATAAATATGTGTAACAGTGCAACAAGGTCTCTACTCCAATTGCAACTCATTTTTCAATCCCAACATCATCGAGCTGTATTCTGGTTTGGCCTTGCAGAAGAGCAGAATCAAAGCCTCAGTTATCTTCTTTATCTGCCTCAGATGGGAGAGACAATCACAAACACTCATCTTCCCCTCTTCACTTACTCTCTCCCACACTGAGTTGCGAACTCGCTCTCTGGAATGTCCCACTAATTAAAACACGTCTGCTGAAACTGCGACCGAAATGAGAGGAGGCCCCAGAGTTACTTTTATTGCAGCAGACTGTTCCTGGACAACCACTCTAGACATAAACCAATTTTCGGCAAATTAAATAAAACGACAACCGCACAAAACCGACAAAAAAAAGAAAAATAGTCGGTGTAAACCGCTACATGATGAAAAACGTGCGCAAATTCGATTATGATGCTACGACTCCTCACACCCAGCAGCACCGGCAGGAAGCACAGCAGGAATTCTGGAAGACTCTTCCAAAGCATGGGAATACCTGAACAGCGGCGCTTACGGGGAAACCTGGGTCCACACGCTTGGCTAACGGTTTATAAAACACCCACATAGGATGAGCTCTCCAGGGGTACAACAGCAATTCCTCACTTATTCCTCACAAGTAGAGCCAGTGGCAGCAGACAATGGCCGTCTTCTTCTTTCTGGTGCTCAGTCAGTCACAGCACCCACAACAGTAGGCACTTGCTAAATGAATGCAAAGAGTGTCACCCTCCCCGTCTCTTTGTACTTTTAACTCACGGGTTTAAGACGTAATTTCTGTCCAGGTGCCTTATGAATTTGAATTTACATACTACCTTTGATAAGGAAGCAGCAGAGGGTGAAAAATTGGAGAATTAAATGAAACAAAAAGGTCAGCTAGGAGATTTAGTCTTTGGGCTCTGAATACTTTATAATTGGTTTTAAATATACTATTCTTAAACAGACCTTTACAATAACACTCCTGAGTGTGGACGATGTTAGTAAGGAAAGAAAATTATTTGTCAGGATCAATAAGGTGTTTAAAATGAAGTCAAAGGCAATTTAAAAAGAAACTATTTTCTACAATGTGAAAGAGGCTCAGTCTGCCAGCAGAGCACAAGACTTTAGGCAGAAAACAGGAAGGCACAGACCAAAATGTTAGAAACGCAAGCCACCTTTTGGGAGTCTCATAGAAAGGTCTGCATTTTGAACATAGAGCTGTTGATGTACAATGCTAACGTCAGTCAAAAATAAAAGTCAAGTAATACTTTATTTTATTATCGCTTCTCTCTCATGCATGACGTTCATAGATCTAGTTATTATAGAGTTCTTAAATAGTAATTAAAACCTGCTAAAATCAGGTAAACTTTACAAAAACTGGATACCGGAAATCGTCCAGATAATCCTGATCAGTACATTTCTAAACAGAACAGCAACAAACTTTAGTCGAAGTTACTGATATGAGAATGTTTTAACATTGGCACACCATTATCCCTGTCTGATATCCTCTGTGCTGCACATGTATTCCCCATTTCTCCTTTTTTTTTATCAAGTCCCTTTCAGTTTTGTCTACAAGTCCTTTAAAGCCAAGCCAAAAATGAAGATCACATTCAGCTGTGAACACCGTTCTTTTCCATACCGTCTGCATTTCTTCCCATTCATGCATGTGTGCTCATTTAAAAAAAAAAAAAAAATCCCATTTGATGTCTTGAAGTTTGAGTTAGCAATGACTTTGAAGTCGTAAAAAATGTGCCAGGCTGATGAAAATGTGACTCGTTTCCCCCTCAAGCTGGTTTGCACTTTGAAATCTTCAGTTTCATGTTCCTCATGCCCGAGCAAAGAATGAGACAGAAACACCTTTGCTCTAAGATACCGCACCTCTCGGCATTCACTTTCCTTGACACCACTCCAATTTTGTGACCAAGACGATCTCATTAAGTTCTGGAAAAAAAAAAAAAAACGCAGCTTTGCTCTCTAATTCTACTCATTGTCTCCAAGGGCAATTCAAAATATTTGTTCACTTTAACACAGATGGAGATCTGAACGCCTGCTGTGATAAAGCAGGCAATAGCAGCTAATTATTACTGCCATAATTATCACAGCCTAATCCTCTAAATATAATTTTTCTAACGCTCACCACAGTGGAAAAGAAAAGTTTGAACTGATCCACACATTATTTTCATTTTCATAAGCCTATAATGTTTCATGAAAGTCCTAGCATTTGTGTCGAGGCCTTACGAGCAAGAAACTTTCTATACTGATGAAAATATATTTCCAACTGTTTTACTGTTTTCCAAATTGAAAAACAGTAAAAATACACAAGAATAAAGACTTTTAATTTTGTGTAGCTTCATAAGCTCAAAGCTGTTAATTTTGGTGCAAGGGAATTATTAGTATTTTATGAATATGTGTTGATATGCATTGATAGCTACAATTATCAAATGTATTTTGTATCTATACTCAGTGTTCAAACAAAAAGAAATACAGTTTGTGAACTGATAGAGCTCATGCTAAACATTATATATAAATAAGTGTCCTTTTTACAGGTATCATAAGTTATTAACTTGCCTAATTGTATAAGTTATTGTTGGTCTTTAGCAATCAGCTGGAATTGAGGGTACTCAAAATAAATTTTGAATAACCTTGATTGGAGTAAATAAATACCGCAAAACATTAAAAAAACAACAAAAAAAGAATGATGTAATTATTAAAAATATTCAAGAAAAACAAACTTCATACAATACTAGAGGTTTATGAAAAGATTTTTTTTTCTATAGAAGTGCAAACAGTGGGATGTTGTCTGTCAAACTCCGAGGGAGAGACTTTATCCCACACTCTACTATTTTAAGACTGGGCATTTAACAAGTCCTGATCTTTCAGACGGGTGCCGCTGAGAGGGGTTTGCAAACTCAAAAAAGATTGATCCCTCAAAGAGTTTTTCTTTTCCTCCTGCTGTGACACAGAGGCATCAAAACAGCTCTGGAAACGGGCATTTTTGAAGATGCCTCTGTGACCTTTCCGAAATGTGCCGGAGGGTATGAATGGCTTATCTGTTTTCGTTTGACTTGCGAACTAAACAGATTAGTGACTACATGAAGCTACGGCCGGATGTGAATTCCACGGCTCCCTGGAGACATCACAAACAACCATGATATGCCGTCTTTAAATAAGGAAACAAAGAGCAAATAAAAACAGCAACAATCATAAGAGCTCCCAGCATTCAAGATGAAGTGAAACTATGTCAACCTGCTGCGCTGGAGCAGACTGGTGCCAGTGTATATTTGATTCAGAAAGCTATTATTTTTTTGTTTATGCCACACTGTTGCAGAAATTCAAGACACATTTGTAATTACGATCTGACCTCTGCAAACACTTCGGAATCACAAATTAGATTCTCAAAAAAAAAAAAAAAGAGCCAAAAGGACTTTGAAAAACAGAAGGCATCTGAATTTTACCTTTTCAGACTCTTAGAGAGACAAACCTGTCAGAAAATCTGGCTTTTCATTCTCCACGTTTTTTTTTTTTTTTCAAAGAACACAAATGAAACTTGGCCCCATCATTTTTTGATGAGGTAAGCTCAGAGCAAGACCGCTGCCAAAGGAAGAGACAACTTCAGAATATAAACAGCGAGTGCGTGCAAAAGCCCAATACACGACATAAGGACCTGGAAGGTAACAAATCACTCCTAAATTAAATAAATGCACTGTGATGTCATTCATCTCCCACATAGCGGGGTTATTTCACACTCCAAATCTGAGCAACACAATCACAAGCAGCTGAACACATGACTTAAAAACGGTGGAACTCCTTATTTGGCCAAAACTAATATGGATCTTTGATTTTGGTAAACGGGTCTGCTTTCTAAAATATTTAACTGAGATGCTTCAACAAAATGAAGCATGCTATACGGGGTCATTAAAAACTGATACATGTCAAGGCAAAGATGGCAAAACCACAGGCAAGTCAAGCAGCACATTTTACAACATAAACACGCTGTCAGCACAAAGTCAAAGAAATTATTAAACACGGAGGTGGAGGATTGATAGTATGGGAATGCACTGCAGCCATGTTAGCTAAAATTTTCTGTTTTACTGCTCCTGGGGTTAGAAGTTGTTTTTTTTTTTTTACTAAACATAAAAGGATGTTGTGATTAAAGTTTTCTCTATTTCTGTGAACACAGCACTACCCCTCCCCTTTAAACCAGCAAAGGTTGAGGTAGAAACACTGTTTTCACTTGTCTAAGATCACACACAATAATCCTTAATCCTTAAAGTGGATGATTGTCAGCTTTACACCAGGTCTCCTAGGCTTAATATCACATTGTTTTTACCCCTGTATCATATTTTCCTTTAATGGTATTCGGTCAAAGTTTAGACAGAGTAAAACGTTAATCACTGCGATTCTGAGTCAATGCATCAGAAACGGGAGCAGCTTTTATTAAAATGAGCTCATCACCATTTCTTCTCCAAATATAATTTTCTTCAGGAGAGGCATCCGTGCCTCGCCGGGGCACCTACGCAGCCCAGTCGCAGCCATAAATGAAGTCGTCTTACCGCGTCCTTGATGTCCTCTCCCATGGTTTTGTCACACAGCGTAAAATCTAAGGTGTGAACTGTCAAGGGCCCCAAGAGGGCAATGCTGCATAACTATGACATCAACCCATAAAACAAGCACATGTATACTGCCAAATATTTCCTGGTCTGCTAGCTTTATGAGCCACAGTGTGTCTGGCCTCTTAAGCTTTATGGTACAAAACATAATGGATAAGAAAGATGCAATCCAGTTAAAAAGGTTAAGGAAAACAATTAGCAGTCAGTGGACACAAAGTGCTTTTCGTTGTTACGGCTTCAGACATGCGACTTATTTTTTTATTTTTACAGTTGAAAACGTGTCCGCTCGAGCAATTTCAGTTCAGTTACCTGCTTCCAGAGTGGAAGGTGGCATATTTCAGTGGCAATACTGTACACCAGATGATTTTGTTCTTTGTCCCTGTGTAACCTCACTTTGTATGCAATATACCTCTTGCCGAAGAAATGTTTCAGCCTCTGTACACAACACATACTCCCGTCTGTCAAACAAATGCTGAAGTCATGACCTTAGTGTTTATGTCGTCAGTTCAAGCATCTATAAACCCGACCCTAAGCTTGCAGACGTTTTAGGTCCGGAAAAACAAAATCCAACTGTGCATACTGTCCCTTACTTTTTCACAATTTGTAATGTTACAGCTGCAAACCTTAATGTGTTCTATCATGAATGTATGTGACAGACCAACATAAAGTACTGCATAGTTGTTTTATTAATAAAAAATATGAGAAATGTGACATTGTGTAATTCTGAGCCTCTTCCGTCGATATTTCAGAAACACCTTTCACTGCAGATACTGATGTAATTCCTTTCAGGAATGACTCTCCAAGGTTTGGACAGCTACACACTGAAATGTTCAACCATTCCACTTTGATTAAAGTACAAATAGGTGGATTTCAAACAACATTTGTTCACACCTATTTTATTTTTAGGGCTTTAAGAGTAAGTCATTACAAAACAAATGGCCCATTTTTCAAACATTTATCTGTAAAACATTTTTAAAAGCTGTGCATCATTTTTGTGGTTGTGGCTCAAAACCGCTGTACTTGCATACAGAGCTATGAACTACTACATCATTGACAGTATATTATACAGGAGAAACTAAACACCGACTGTGATCTAATAAAATCTTGGTCCAAAATAGAGTAGAAATTAATAGCTCATGAAGGCCAGTTTAACAACAGGGTCAATGTCAAAAGCAGTCACAACAAAAACAGAAGCGAGGTGGAAGGGTGAGACCAGGGAGTAGGAAAGAAGGGGGAGACATGAGTGGAGAAAAGAGGGTACTGGGGAATATCAACAACTGTGACAGCTGTGTGAATATCGTGAGCCAAACCACAACAGGGAGCTTTAAGGGAAGGAATGCAGAACAGATCAACCAGACAGCAGGTTGTGCTTGGAGCTGACATAGCAGCCAGTGGCCGAGGCACAACACACAGCAGCTGCCTAATCCCAAACTTCTGCCCCGACGCCCAGCTGCGAAAAGCAAAACCTGTACTGATTTCTTTTATATCGCTTCCTGCTCCTGGCCATTTGTATCGCTCACCTGCTTGGACTAAAATGACATTTCACTTGCCAGCCCCCAGGCAGAGCTCTCTTTTATCAGAGTCAAAAGAACTTGACTGACCAAGCTTTTCACCAAGACGGCTACAGTAGCACATTCACACAGATAGCTTATTTGCAACATTTTCCAAGAACAGAGAACGTCCTTACCAGCGACAGAGTTTGGCCTCGGCATTATGAGGGAGGATGATGCCTGCGGTGGATACGGATTAGGCCCGTCGGATGTGTGACCTAGTGGTCGTGGTGGCCCCTGTGCTCCGGCTGGTGTGTGGGGCGGCGGCGGCTGCTGCTGCTGCGGGTCTGTCCTCGACGGGGTGTCAGCTGGTGTTGCCGTGGCACTACTGGACTCTTCTTCCACCACGGGAGAGCACGTGTCAGCCCGCACGCTCTGCGCCAAGCCATGGCACCCGGTGCTCCTTAGGCTGCCATCTTTACTCCACTCGAGGCTGGAGCCGCTGCGGTCGTCATTCTCTGAGGAACTAGTGATGGTGGCTAAATGGAGACAGAAAACAGAATTTGAGCCAACGAGGAGGGATAATAGGAGGGAAAGAGGCGAGATAAATTAGAGCAGTGTTCTTTGTGTGATATGAACATTTATCAGTCTTAATCTTCACTGAGACACTGAGCTGTAATGGAACTTTGAATAACTCATTGCTGCTGCTCATTGCTCTTATCAACGCTGCTCTGAAACTCATTTTCAATCGACAGCGACCGTCTCTGTGCACTAATAAAAATTTTTTAAAAAGTAGGAGACATGGCAGCTTGGATTTGTTAAATTAGTTTAAGGATTTGGCTCAGAGGTCTTGCTTTAAATGAGACTATTCATTCAGCTTTATACGGTGAAAACAGTAATTAGATACAGCACAAACAAAAAAAGAAATCCACACCCAAACATTCAGGGAGAAAGAAGACGCAGGTCTAAAAACATTCAAGTTTAGACTGGAGTTCTGTTTAGGTGAGAACAAATCCTCCAATCCTATAAGAAAACCATCAAACACAAACATGTTCTCTGAGAGGAGAGAGGCGCACAGAAGGTAAAAACAAAAAACAAACATGGACGGAGAAATCAGTTGGCGACTAGAACTGCATGATCGTCTTGATTGCTCATGATGGGTGATTGGCCGTTCAGAAGGTGAAAAAAAATCAGATATCAGCTTTGTTTAGAGAATGTATAATACATTTACACTATCAGTTCAGCAGCAACAGCAATCTTTGGTTTAGGTGGAGCTACTGAGGAAAGAAATCTCATTTTGTTTTTTCTTGAGTTTTTCACAAATTAAGAGAAGGGCTGTGCTGTGGCACAGTTGGTAGCAGTCTTGTCTTGCTGGAAGAAGTTCTTGGATTTGAATTCTGTTGTCCAGTTACATAGTTTGCTTGCACTGCTCTGTGAATGCGTGTGCTTCTCTAAATTTTCCCCAAGTATGAGTATGCACGTGCATGGCGGTTTGTCTTGTATGTCTGCGTTGTTGTGACTGACTGCCAGTCTATCTAGGGTGTGCATTACTTCTCACCCAATGATGGCTGGCACATATGTAAACAGTTATTGAAATGGAAACTGTCATTTCTCCACAATAAAGCAAGACTTTTACCAGATAATAGAAAGGCTGAACATAGAGTGAAATATTTGTTTTATCCCTTTGAGCTTTCAAACTTCTGTCTGCTGTGGAAACCACTAGCTTCAGAAACATGGACCATCTTTTGGAAGCCTGACAGTTACTAAACGTTTAAATAATGTTACCCACATTTTTGCAGCTATAAGATCCAAACATTATAATAGTCGACACAATTTTGTCTATATTTTACAATAGCAAAATCACGTTTTACAGTGTGACATCTCCACAGCTTTCAACATAAATGGACTGCAACTGTTTAACCAGGAAGAGCAAAGTTTTTTTTTGTTGTTTTTTTTTTTTTTGGAGGGCGCTCCAACATGTTCTTGAAATTAAAGTGTTAAAGGAGCAGTGTTATGCATTTTCCAGGCACATAGTGCCATTTCCACAGTCTGTGAAAATGGGATTGCCCAGCTACTTGTCAAAATTTCATAATGCTATAGCTCTGCGTCATTATTGGTAAAGCAAGGACATGTGTCAATCGAAATCATTCGTATGTACAATAACATCTCACCCTGCTCTGGATTACTTGGCATCCTAAACTAAAAAATGGTTAATTATTCACATCTAAACAGACTTTTCTTTTACGTCATTTAAAAAGCCATTTTCAGTAATAACTTCAGGTTCCCATGTCCCTTTTTATCCAGTCTATGTTGCTAAATAAAGGAATTCAATTCAGTACAAAGTCAAATTATTGTGCTTTTCAAACCAGTCAGGGTGAAACTTCAAAGAACGGGGAACATTAATCGCCGACAGGAATCTGACGTGCAGCACAGCTTTGTTCTTTTCGTTGGAACTACTTTATCAAGGTAGGGGAGAGAGATGTCTCAGCCCAGTGGTTCTGATCATTTCCCAACCCCCTCTATTTGCACACAAATTAGTAAAACCCTGAATTTTAATTCAGCTTGATGCCTATGAGGGAACAGTCATTACTTGTTGCTCCTCTAACAACGTTAGGTGTTGCTAATGCAGCTAAGATGAGCGAGGAAGAACCATTTAATCTCGTCCTTAATCTTCGTGTATTTCACAGCTCCTTAAAGTATAAATTATCTCTAATATTTCTGTATTTCGGTGCCTCGTCATGAACGGTTGTTCACCTAACAGCTGCAGTCTTTTCCTCTGTCTGCACAGAACAGTGTGGGGTCATAGACGTTGTTAGAAACCGGAAATGTGGGCTGAACCCAGGGATGTCATTTGGATTTTAACTGCTGAAGATTTAATGAGGGCAGAATTAAAAACCCTCTATTTATTCATTTGGCCCCAAATTACAACTATAACTCAATTTTGTCCCTACCACCAATGATGACAGTCTGTGCTGTCTGGGTTTCAAAAATGACAAATTTAGACAAGTGGAGAACAAAAGAGTAATTGGACTCCACAAAGTCGAGAAAAGATCCAAACACAAACCTCACGCGGGACACGAAGAAAGCATTGTCGTTAAAAACTCAAAGATGTAAGATGTGTTCATAGATGTTGAAGCATCACTTCACCAAGATTGGAAATAACTTAGTCTAAAAGCGTCACATTTGGGCTTATTTTTGTTCTGCTTTTTTACTTGATGAATAGTTTGATTTATAAGAATTAATACTTAATTCACTGTAGATTAACCATTAAAGAATTATACAAAATCAACTCAGATTCATTCAAACTACTAAAACATCAGGTTATTCCCTCGGTTTTACATTTCTGTAATGAATACATTTTACAAATTGCATGATGTGAGGATTTCAAATTGAATGCATTCTGAACATTGAGGAGCCTCTTGTTAAGGTGCACACTATTTAGACCATCATCATTTTGCAGAATTCCAGCAAATGTTTAATCATGATTTGCATCGGCACCTCTGGCAGGAAGATAGTATATCACGGCCTTCATAAATTATTCAGCGCTGAGCAATAATATTACTTTAGGGGAGGCAGAATGACGGACTCATGGCAATCAGTTATAGAAACGCTGCAGAATTAGAAATCCAAATGTTGCGTTATGGATGGCTTTGGCACATATTGGTTTCTGCTGCAAACGTATCAAGTGAGTCAGTTTCAAAGCGCCGTGGTGTAATTGTTGTTAGCATTAGAATGCATTTTGCTTCACCTGTGTGAACTGTAGAATACTTAAAAAAAGACAGACTGCAGTAAAAATGAAAACTTTATGGTACAGAGCCAAAGGTCCAATTACAATTTGTTACTCAATCATCCTTAAATACATGCGACGCCCATTTTCAGACCCTAACATCTGTGTGGCCATGTGAGAGTGTAGACGAATTATTGCATCAACAGACTATGCCATCTTCCTGTCAGCTTGCATAAATCCCTCGATGTCTTATAGGACTATTACAAGAGATCCAGCACAACGTCAAACTGCTACAACTGTCAGGACGACGCTCCCTCCTGCTGAAGCAGCTTCCTACAAACCAGCTGACTGACACTCAGGATGAATAACATGTCACACAAATGCTGCTCAGTCTTAACAAGCTTGGCAGAGCGACAGGTGACTGACATCGCACAGGTACGTTCCTTTGTTCGGCAGCAAAAACGACACACAGGGAATCAATTTTAACGTAAAGGGTCCTTATGTGAAACTCTTTACTTTCTGAGACTTTAGGGAGATAGGTGACAAAAAGTTTAAGAGTGTTTACAAGTTATTACATGCTTTGGCTTTTTCAGAGTTTTTCTAAATTCAACTGGAGATTTTACCACTGATGAACTGAAGGGGGTAGTTCTGAGGCTGCAAAGATTCTGGTCATTTTTCTAAGCTGCGCTGTTAATTTATACAGACAAGATAATGTATTACATATCACCGACTATTTGAGCAAAGGTCATTTAAAGCCTACTTTGGCCTGCGTTTAGCTTTAAGCAGAAAAAAACGGTGGGGTCTTTGGTCCAAAAACTAATTTATTTGGGGTAAAATGTGCAAGTCAGCCCCAGAAAAAAATATTGTGAAGATGCTGGATGCAGCTGGTGAAAAAGTGTCATTATTTACAGTGAAGACAGTCCAGAATTGACTTGGATTGGAAGATTACATAGAGAGGAAGAAGCTATTACTCCAAAAGTAAAATAAATTAAAAAAAGAGCCAAATTACCTATTACAAATGCACTTAAGGGAAAATGAAATTCACAACTTCTGTTGTCAGTTGGGATAAAACAACAAAGATTTCCCATAACTGTCACTGTTACTTCTGGAGGAGAAAGAGGGAAGGTTAAAAGTCTAAATACACCATCTAAATTACGAACAATCGGGAGGTGGTATCATGATGAGGGGTCATTTTGCAGTAGGATGGACCATTTCCATTGACAAAATGGATGGCACCACATAGAATATCATGTGGAAATTGAAGCAAGATCTCAAGACCTCAGCAGGGGAGTTGATGCTTGGGATTTCCAAATGGACACTGACCAAACACACTCTGGTTGCCATGAGGCTTAAGGACAATAGATTCAATGTTTTTTGCATTACCATCACAAAAACTTTATCTCGGTTCTTTAGAAAACCTGTAGGCAAAGTTGACGAGGTGTGTGCCAAGAAGGAGACCTACAAAAACCTGACTAGGTTACCAGCTCTGTCAGGAGGAATGGAACAAAATCAAAGCAAACTATTCTGGGAAGATTGTGCAAAAGATACCTAAAAGATTAGATCCAAGTTAAAAAAATCTAATTCTACCAAATGCTGAACAAATGAATGAAAGCTGCTGGATTTAAAGGATACTTTTAATCTCTTAAAAAGTCTCCTGCTCATTATTCTGGCGTTTAACAAAGACGACCAACATTGGTAATCCTAACTGAAAAGACTTAGTCGCAATCAGTAATTTTAAAAATCCCAACCAAAACATCCCTGCTAAGAGAGATTTATCCATTCTCACTGTTTTCCCCTGAACTCTAAAAGCTTGCCGTCAACGGATGGAGAGGCGCTGTACCGTACCTATGATCCCGCTGTCCTTGCTCTCCAGAGTGGAGCTGGGGCTGGTGATGGTCCCACAGGGGCTGGAACGACTGAGTGGGGGACGACTTGTCGTGCTGTTGAGAGTGGAGCATGGGCTGTCGGTGCTGGGAGATGCCGTGCTGCTGGTCAGGGTGGAGCAGGGGCTAATTCCCTGGCTGGTCAGAGTGCACTGAGGAGAGAGAGAGAGACCAGAAGAAAAGGGCTTGGATACAACAAGAAGGTGTTCTGAGATTAAGCAAAAATCAATGAAAGCTCAGGTAAGCTTATCACCAGGACAAGGAATCACATATTTTGTAAAGCAAGCAATATTTTTGAGTTTTATCCTGGAGGTAAAATGCAGCATTCAAAAAAAGAAAGCAAACAGAAAAAAGGGGCAGATTTGATCTAACTTCACAATCTGTTTGACCTGAATCATGTGAAACCAATAGATGACATTCCTTAGCAAATAGGCATGGGTTTCACATGTGAGCATGACACACAAGCCGAAGGGTGTGAGCTCTGCAAACGGCACAAGCTAAATCAAAATACGCTGAGATCCATGTGTTAGAGAAGTCCAAATAAACCCAAAGAAAAATGCACATTAGAAAAGACTCTGTCACGACACAATAGACAGCTTTCTAAAGTCATCAAGGTTGCCTGACAACCAGACAACAGGCTGAGTCTCTGTTTGGAATCAAACAAAAAAGAGTGCACATCCAAATTAATCCTTGTTTGCTCCATTTCGTAATTTTCCTTCAACTCAATGGAAAGTAAATGAGGGTCATCATTGATTCTTTGTAAGAAAAGCCAAATCACAGCAGACAACAGAGAGAATGACTAATCATCACTCTGCAACTTTTCTATCCACTATTGCTCACATGAACTTCAAGAAATAAAATATTTATTGTTTTGTTTTGTTTTTTCTGTGGAGAACTTTTCAGACGACAACACTAGGTATAATGGGTGACATTGTTTGCATATGGAAAACAGTGCCTTATGCAAATCTGTAAATGTAATCAGATACCTTGAACCTTCTCACATATCATATAACAACCACAAACAATATATTTAATTGGGATTTAATGTGATAACACGATATAAAGCATTGCAAAATTGAGACATGCAAGCTAATTGATTTCATACATTTCTGCAAATAAAAATCTGAAAAGTGTGGCACATTGCAATTATGAGAACCGACCCTAACCTGGAAGCCATCTCATGAGGATGGAGATTGTTTGACCATCTATTTTTAGGTTTTACTGCAGATTCTTAATTGAACTTCAACCAGAAGCATGTTAAGAGTTTCTGCTCTGCTTGGAGTCTCGAGTCTTTGAAAGCCTCCAGCTGGTGTACTCTCTGATCTAACCAGAGCATCATCTTCTACATGTTTGCTGCATCTCCTAAATGACTAGTCACGATCTGCACATCAGACTTCTTATGGCTTTCTGTCAACAACGGCTTTCTCCTTTCCGTTTTTCGCGATCAAGGTCAGATTTGTGGCATGCACAACTAATTGTTGTGCTGTTGACAGATTCTTCCACCTGAGCTGTGGATCGCTTCAACTTCTCCAAAGGTACAATGAGCCTCTTGGTTGCTTCTCTGGTCAATACTCTCCTTTAGTTTTTTTTTTTTTTTTTTTTTTTTTTTTTTTAAATCTCACAGAGCATTCAGCAATGCTCTGTGAGATTTTTAAAGCTCAGAATGTCACATTATAACCTAAACCTAAGTGATAAATCTCCCCATAACTTCATCGCTGACCTGTTTGTTGTGTTTCTTGGTCTTCATATTGCGTTTCAAGATATTTTGCTGCCTGAAGGACTTTCATTGATTTTTTTTTCTCTTAAAATGACTTTAATTGTAAAGTTGTAAACTTTTCAAATGGTTTAAACCTTAAACCATGTTTAATCATTAAAATTGTGAGCTCCCATTTATCCTGCTTGACACATCAGTGCATGACTTTAAAATCATTTTAGTCTTAAAAAGGAGAAAGAAGAGAGACTGGACTAACTGAATTTTCTTTGCGTTTCTCCAATCTAAGGTTCAAACAGTAGGAATAGAACAGTCAGACTAATAAATAGCTGCAACAGCGTGATTAAACAACTTGTAGAGCCGTAACGTTAACTACATGGCATTCTTTCTTTTTATATCTCTCCTTTCTGTAAACAAACAACCCAGTCGGAGACCAAACTGAGACTTCATAATTAGCTCTGAGGCAATACTAAAACACGCCGAGTTAAAGACGTGCTGTAAAACAGCGTCACGGAGGAAAAGAGAACTGCTTGCAGATGACAGCAACGTGCTCTGGGAGACCCGTGCACAAAAAGCCCCTCAAAGTCTAAACCATCGACCCACTCGTACTGGCCGTCCCCTCCTATGACACCTCCTGTAATTTATGAATCACGTTCCTAGAATCACCAGCTCAGCGTCATAACATGTCCTGGACATGAGATGGATGAGGAAAGCGCAGCATGCTGGGCTTTGCTCCACACAAAGTCCCAGCTTAATTAGCGGAGCCAAACAAACTGAGGCTCAGACCTAACATAACTATTTCTGGACCCGGGCTCAGATGCTCTTGTTACATTCTCCAGAGCCGCCCCTGAAATAGCACTTAAGTTACAGCACGACACCAAAGAGCTCGCACAGAAATAAAGGCACATGCAACCAATTTAAAATCTCCACTTACTTTCCCTTGTACAAATTTAACGCTTCAAGTTAAGTAGTCTCATAGTTACCATTGCTTGTTGTGGGGGGAAAAATGAATCCAACACGTACAGCTTGCAAACTTGTCCATAATACACTGAGGAAAAATAAGTCAAGTAGCATAATAATAATCCATTTTACTACTGGAGTGTGACAACTATTGTCTCCTCTGATTAGCTTCTCTATCTGTGAATCTTAGTGCTGCAGCAGTGGCAGCAGCAGCTGCTGCTGGGTGAGGGAGAGGAGGGAGGGAGGTGGAGGGAGGAGGAGGGAGGGAAGAAAAAAATTAAATACCTTCTTTTCATTCTTGTCGTCCATAGGTATGCGTGCTGTGCCCGGGATCCCTTCTCCCAGTAAAAAGCCCAGCCTTGTCATCAGTTCCTGAGTGGCAGGAGAGGAGGAGCTTGGCTGTTGCTCCGCTTGCAGCTCTGGAGATGAGAGAAGGAGTAAAAAACAGAGGGAGAGAAGTGCAGTTAGCCGGGAAGATTCCCTCTCTCTCTCTCTCTCACACACACACACTCTTTCTTCTGGCTGGGCCACACAGGGCCACGCTGCATGCCCTGCCCTCCTCAGCTCTGCTTTGAAATGCGTTGCTGCACTCCTCCAGCAGCTGCTGATGTACTGCAGACCCGTAGAGGGCGAGAGGAGAAGACGAGTAAGGGAGAGCGTGAGGAGGGAGCTGTGGCTTGAGTGTGTGTGTGTGTGAATGCATGTGAATGTCTGGCATTGTTAAGAAAGCAGAGGCTCTATGCATGTCCAGCAACATGCTTTGAGTGCCAATTCCAGGGCTTTCTGCTTGTTTACAGCTCTCACTCATAAAGCCTCTGAATATGAATGAGGTGAAACAAGGCTTTCTGAGGCAAATCTTTAACTAACTTTGTTCAAGCATATATATATATATATATATATATATATATATTGTTTTGGATTTATATATCCAAAACAATACATTCCATTATCAGAGTTATAAGCAACCATGATTCACACAAAAAAAGTTGTCTGAACACCAATGTGCCATGTTTTCAAAGAGTAACTCAAAAACCTAAATGTCAGAATATAGATAATGTCCAGATATTTATTAAATTAACTTTCCTCTGCTGGTTTGCTGGAGTGCTGGTTTCAAGCATATTAACAGAAAGTTGAGTGGAGAGAAAACTGTGGTAGAAAAAGCAACACGGATGACCGAAACTCAACTGCCTCAATGACAAACTGCACTGATGACATAATTCATGTGAAAAGAAGCCCAAACAAAACCTGAGTGCAAATGTTACATCGTACCATACATTAACAAAATGCTCATATGGACAATGATTCTGTGTTGAATGTCTTTTTTTTTTCTGACCTTGTGGAATATCCAAGTTGTCATAGAAACTGGATTTGAAAGACATATTCACCAAAAAGAAAAACAGACACTTGAAATAAATTAAGATTTTAAACTCCTTTTGTGATCAAGTTCCATTACCTCATACCCAATTTTTTATCTCCACTCAAGTTTTCATTAACATTCCTGGAACAAGCTTCTTTAGAAATAACCTTATGGGACTTGGCCTCATGGTTGAGACTGTACACTAGACAACTGTCAAATCAATGAACGCCCCATGACTGTGTAGGTCATGACCTAATAGTATTGTATTAAAACTTTCATTTTATTGGCATAATATAATCTCCATTTTTTTTTTTTTTTTTTTGTTGAGAAATTGGATTTGATGTTGTCATTAGTTGGACATCATAACCATAAATACTTGCAATGTATCAAGCAGGATTTTAAATTTTGTAGAAGAGGTCTTGTACAATGAAACTGGTTGTAACTGGTTGTGCTCATAAGTCTTGATCTAACTGCAAGTACAGCTGTTCTTCCAAAGATCTATTATGCATCAGTGAGGTTGAAAATTACAGCAATTCTTTGAAGCATTATTTTTTTTTTTAAAAAATCACTTATTTTCTTAGCTCAGTCTGAACACAAATGTTTTGTCCATACAAACCACACACTTGGAAAATATTACAAGCAAATGTTATACTTCAACATTTTTTTTCCCAAGACTTTACAGAAGCTGTGAATAAAATGGTCAGGAAAAAATATAGTTTTCATGCATCATACATGTAGCATGCAAATGAAGTCAAAGCATTATCTTAGAGCAGGCGGACCGCTCCGTGGGTGAAAGATTTTAAGAAGCACAACCGCTTATTATCCAGCTCTCTCTGTCAGCGCCCGAGTCTCATCTTTTGCCCTCAGTCTTCCATGGTTATTAATAATGTTGACAGTAAATCTGATTAAATACAAACAAGTTCAATGGCGGAGTGTATTGCCAGGTCCAAACGTAATCACAATAAAGGCAGGACATTACACTTTTGGCACACAAGTGGCTATAATAATAACATCCTCTCCTTTTAAGAACATAAATAATAACTATTGTTGTTATACTAAAAAGAAAAGCTGACTGGTGGATTTTTTATTTTTTTTTTTTTTAATGAGTGCAATGCAAAAGCGAGATTAGTGCTTCCCATCTAACGTAATCTTGTGACCAGCTGTTTGTTACTTTAATAACACTGAAGTAAGCTGGAACCATTTGTTGAAAATGCTAAGATACACATTTAATTATCAACAAAAAAAGCATAAGCGCAGCCAACGACACTTGAAGGGAACAGCCATACTGAGTGAATCAGAACCAAACCAAGTACTGGAGAAGACCCAAACTGTTAGAATACACATTTATCATCTCATGAATTGACAAAGGACGTTATTCCCAATTATAGCATTATGCCATAAGCTGTTGTTCTCGATTTAGTTTAGGATTGCAATGCTTTTATATAAACCGGCAAAGTTTTCACAAGCAAACTCACAAGTCTGTAAAAAAAAAAAAAAAAAAAAAAAGCTTGGAATATTGTCCTAGAGTAATAGATAGGATAGTTGCATTGTTCAAAATAGCAAGCCTACTCATAAGAGGAGAAGTCATGAGACATTACGGATACATCAGGGCTGACAGGACGTTTGATGCAATAAGACGCACAACACCTACAAGCCAAATAAACCTTTGGCTCCTGGGTCACATCAGTGACATCTACAGCTGTGAAATCAATGCAATATACACAACTAGACACAAACTTTTACATTTAGCCTTAACAATGTTATTGTAACATGGTGGAAAATGTATTTAGCTTAGTTTGGTGTAGGAAAATATATTATAACACCAGTTAGGCTTTGTGCTTGGGAACTTATTTTGAACATAAATGTAAAGTACAGAGTGTGTGATTCACCCTTCAGTCTGTTTATATATATACATAAATCAAGATGGACATTCTGTAAGAAAGTTAAGTGGCTATATCTGGGGAACATTTACTTTATAAATGTTTATGTGACCTAATTCGTTTCTCCTTACTGTAAAAGCCAAATGCTTTAAAGCCATCAACAATATAAGTGTCGGTAAAGTTTAACATCTGGCTCAAATAAGAGCAAATTAAAGTATTCATATTGTCTCACTTTTGCTTTCAAACCAGGACATGTATAAGTGTCCAGCTCAAACAAACTTCAGTTGGGGTCATTTTTAAGTAGTAAGAACATTTTTCACCATTTTCTTTCAGCATGTTTATGAACCAAATTAATTATCATTGATCATTCATTATAATAGGATGATGGCATCTAAAGCCTTACTGGCCAGCTTAACTGCAGCATAACATTTACCAATACATGTCAGCTTATGCACCACCTAGGATAGTCTCAGGGCTGAAAATTGTTCAGTAGATTGTGATTGTAGTTCCATTATTAATACAGATTCTCTAATAAATGATTTTTTTTATGATTTTGGTGTTGCATTGTTAAGCTAAGCACATTTATTGCAGGCTAAACCAGATGTTGAAACAAAGAAGTCTCCCAGTTATAAACAGGAGTCTTGTTATGCGTCTGTCAATGTCATACAGTCCCACATCTGCTTTAGAACAAAACAGTTTTGAATGATTCACCAAATAGATAAATACTATTCTGTATTTCCCTCCCTTGTATTTATTTACCCGTCATGTCTTTATCGAGACAGCCATTTTGAGATATTTAATGAATAAATGAAAAACAAATTACCTAGAAAAATGCAGACAAACTAGAGCGCTTTGTGGTTGGAAAATCTTGCAGAGTTCTTATCTGCCAGAAACAAAACAAACCACAACAAGAAAGCTGGGGGTCCAAATTATCACAACCCAGTTGGAAACATTGTTGAGGAACAAAAACGGTAACCGCTGTTTGCATTAGTGTTATTAAATGCAGCATGCTGAGAGAAAATAAGACACTGAGAAGCATACAGTCCATAGAAAACACATTATCTTGCACTTACTTGGAAGTTGCAAATACGTCTTAGGAAGATTTAAAGAAAACAACCCCAGTGTGTAGAATTGTTTCTTTTTTTTTTAGGGGTACATTCCTTAATGACAATCTAATAACATATTTTCTTCAGGGAAGCACTCACAATATTTTGCTTATCTAACTTCACATATTTTAGCAGCTTTACTCAATTATGTGAGGAGTAATTACAGTTATTTGTCAATACTGAAATCACATAATTTAAAATAAAAGACTGCACGGCAAACTCCTGCCGTCGCCCCATAAAAGCATCATAACATGATGTATTTATTATAAAAAGAAGCATTTTCATTTAATCGATTTACAAATTGTAAATAATGTGCAAGTGAAGCCGGCCAACATTTTGGACACATGATTTATTGATTGCAATGATCACCCTGGGAGGAGACTACAAGCTGACAGTGAAGGATGGGTTTGTAGCTGAATATATTTAACGATACAGATATTAATCTTCGGGGGGCATTTAGATGGATACCACACTATCTTTAAGGCATCATCATAGTCAATATTTCAAGTGAATGACTTGATGTTTTTTGCTGGATGAACTACAGTTTCGGTACATCCTAATCAGTACCTTTGTTAAAGGGAGATGCCTCAATAAATACATTCTGAGGCACTTCTGCATTTGATGAAAGTGATGTACAACAGTGTTGAACGACTTGTGAAGTCCTTGTATTTACATTTCTCAGTGTAACTTAGGAGGGCCTTGATCTCATGTCATGAAGCTCGTCTTTCCACACTGAGCATCATTTTGAAGTCATGTCTCAGAGAGAAAAGTTCACTAGTCTCTCTACACGTGGGCCTTAAATTCACTTAAAAACTCTCAAAAGTGCGAGTGGATCCCAAAACTAAGAAGAGTTTACGCTGGAACACGGGGAGAGAGTGAATCTACACAAAATCAGATCATTGAAGGAAGCTTTCTAGCCAAATATCATAAATATACTAAGCTATTGACAAAAAAAAGTGTGACATCGTTAAGCATATAATTTGTGTTTCAGCAAATCAGCAAAATTTGCAATGTCTAACTCTACAGTGAGTAGACAAAATAGGTATTTTGGGTCCATACAAAGTGGTGAGTAGTCT